TAAGATGAGTTTACAGGAACAACTTGCCTTCAAATGACCTTGCTGTCCATATTTATAACACTGAGGTGATACTCTTACAGCATCTGCTATTGAATTATCTAGCAAGGTCATATTGTGGGAATGAGAACCCACTTTAGAAGAGGCATTTATTAATTCATTTAGTGATAGACTTTCCTTGGGCAGCAGTTCTATGATTTTTCTACAATCCTCGTTGGTATTATCTTTTGCCAGTTGTAAAATTAGGTGATTTTGGATCTCTACATTAACAATTTGCTTCTCTATCACATCTTGCAATCTTTCAATAAACTGTAGATATGGTTAATTAACTCCCTGCCTAATCTTTGAATATATTTGGGTTGGATTTGCCATAATTGCTAGCTTAAATAAAGCTTGCGTACCCAATTCCTTGACATGTGCCAACACCAGTGGCTGCAACTGGCCTGGAGTCATGGATCACCCGCTGGTGGCAGCCCCAGAAGTTGAGAGATCCCTCTCTCGTAATGTTGGTCTTCTTTTAGAAAATCTAGATTTTTTTAATTGCTGGTTTTCCATGCTGCTTTTCCATGCTGATTCAAACACCATATATTGGACTGTTGAAAACATCAATTTTGCAAGGTGCTTTATATCAAATGGAGTTACCTCCTCTGTTGTTAAGAAACGTACCATATTAGCAATGGCAGATGAACCTAAACCATGCTTGGCACCAAGCTGGTGCAGTTCAGAAACAACTGGCCACTGGAAAGGGGTGTATTTGTCTAGAGCAGTCCTGTTGCCTCTTACTACAGGGAGAGCTGCTAGTATCCTGTCCTCCAGTTCCAAGCCCCCAGACATGGGCCATAAATGAGTTTTGCCCCTTCGAAGTCCCTATCTGTGATAGTGGCTTGTTTTACCTTCTGCCAAATGGACACATGAGGCTTTTGGCAACAAGGCAAGGGTGGCATTATTGTGGTGTTCTGCAGAGGGATGGTGGGTCTGGGTCTCTCTACTGGCCTCCTTCACATCCCTTGCTGGTGTACATTCAAGAGACAGCTCCAGCTTTGGTAATGGGGGTGCACTTGTGGCAGTGGCAATTCAGGGGTTCCCAGTCTCTACTGCTTCTGGGTATGACGTTCGGTTAGGACTCGGGAAGTCCCAAGCCCGCCCACAAACTACAAAGGCAGCTGGGCATTCCCATAGGAAGAGGGACAGAGGTGCAGTGCTGGGGCAAACAAGTCTGGGAGGAAGTGGTTTTGGTGTGCCCAGGATCTGTGCAGGTGCTTTTGGAACTGTAGGGTGCTCTGTCACCATGGGAACTGTGCAGCCATCACAGCCAAGCACTGCCTCAGCATGCCCGCTTGTGACAGCCCCAGAGCACAGCTCAGCGGCAGGCAGGGCTTGGCAGCAGCTGTGTGCCAGGCAACAGCCAGCAGCAGGCACCTTTCTGCCAAGATTTACAGCAGTGCACGGAGCAACAGATACAGCTCGATCATAGCAAGGTGTTCTGCAGCAGCTTGGAGTCTCACAGCAGCTGGACATAGCCTGGCAACAGGCGGCTCCACAGCAGCCAGGAATGGTTCCACAGCCAGGCGCCTGCCCACAGGGGCAAGGTGCTGTCCTGCCAGGGCCGGGGACAGTCTTGCTGCAGCTGGGAATGCCTGTAGGAGTGTTTTCAGGCATGGAAAAGCATGGAGAGGTGGCTCTGCTGCAGGCAGAGACAGCTGCAGGGGTTTCAACCCAGTGCAGCATGGCACAGAGGAGCTGGAATCTCACAGGGGCTGGGTGCCACTTCTGTGATCTCAGCCAGGGTGGCAGGGCACGGTGGAGTGGCAGCAAACTCTGCTCCATGGCCAGGCACCATCCCGCAGGGACAAGGCATCTTGCAGCGGCAGCGGTTGGGTGCCTTGCAGTGGCTGCAATAGCAAAGCACCTCCCCGCCACTACCAAGCACCGCTTCTGGGGTCCCAGCCAGGGCAGTGGAGCATGGGCAGCAGGACCCAGCCAGGCACAGCAGAGCGACAGAGTGCCCCTTTAGTGCAGCTCTGCAGCACAGTGTCTCTCTCCACCTTGGACCGGCGGCAGCGTGCTCTGCTGACAACACATGCTGCTCTTGGGTGATTATGGAGGTTTCTGCCAGCACAGCAGAACGAGGGGCAGCAGAGCACGAAGCGGGAAAGTGGCCAGTTGTTTCACGGGTTTTGGCAGCCATGGCAGGGCACAGAGGGGCTGCAGGCTGTCCATTCAACACAGTGTGGCTGCTTGGAGCATCTACGCTGCCGGCCCCAGGGACAGTGTGCTCCACCAACAACGTGCTCCCACCTGGGGCGGTGACATGGCCCCAGGCAACCGGGGACATCCCACTTGGCAACTACTCCCACCAGGGGCAGCAGCACGATCCCAGGATGTATCAGGGCGCTCCCCAGGCAGGTCACTCCTGCCTGGGGACTCTACACAGCTCCGCTCACTGGCTTCCCAGCATGCTGTGCTTTTTGCACTCATCCTCTTCCCTCACTCACCTGGTACAGTGTCTGCTCCCCCTGCTGCCTCCCCTGTTGCCCTGCTTTCACCATTTGCCTCAGTGGGCAGTGCCAGCTGCAATCCCTCTGCCATCCTCACCACCCGCTCCCTCTGCAACCATTTTATCATGTCCATTATGAGTCTCTAAGGTTTAATGACATTAATAGCAGAGTCATCTCCTGTAGAGGCAGCTGTGAAGATATATCAGCCAGCCTGCTACCAAGTTTTTAAATCTAGGGCGGTCCCTTCCAACACGTCCAGTCCGTAGCTCTCACACCATGTTATTAGGGCTAATGAAGCCCGTTCATCATATTTTTCAAATATTTTCATTAAAATAGGAGTCCATACCTGGAAGAGGGGGTCCTCCAGTGTTGAAGCCCCTGCTCCCATGCCAGCTTGAGGGTTGCAGGCAGCTCCTCTTGCCTGCCCTGTCTGTCTCCTGACTCTATTGGTGGCAGCTCTTGTGATCACGTTGGGATCACCAATTGTCAGAGTTTTGGACACAGGTGACTTGACACTCCGTGTTCATGCAGCAACAGCCAGCTTCATTGAGATTTCTCTTCGTTACATACATAAGGAGCCCATGAGGGCTCAGCTGTCCTCATTGGCTGAGCCAGTTACCTCCCCATTAATCAGCCAATAGCAGCCTGAGTCCCCAACAGCCTGGGCCTGCTCTTACTGATTGAATTCCCTATGTAAGGTAATTATATAATCAATCACATATTTCAGTTATAAAATTGGAATTATTTATACTGTATGGCCTACAAGCCAGCTGTAGGCCACCACATATTTTGATTTATTGTCACTGACCACGGGTTTTCACTGTGCAGTCTGCAATGGTGTCTGGATCGTCGGTAGTTCTGAACTGGCAGAAACAATTTAGTTAGAAACATGACTTCAATATTGGGACTTCCTTCAAATAATTTTGCAACATGAGGCATACCACTCATTCAAAGTACTCCTTACAGAAATCAGGGGGTTATATTTTAGCACTGAATATGCTTCTTCAGACTTCCAAGCTCTTGTATCTAAAGTGATGAGCAAGTCTTTTTCTGTTACTGTTGCCATTAAAGTGCATGGCACAAAGCAGGAGCTGTTTAAGTAGAAATTGCCAATATGAATCATACAGGAAATTCATTGTGTCTCTTTCAGATACTTTTAGTGGTTTATTATATTAATGCATCTAAGGTGTTCTCAAAAATAAAATTGCGTGAGTTGGTAAATCAAAGATAGAATCTGAGCCTTGGGTTCCCAGCCCTTTCTTGATAATGGACTTCTCAGAACATAATTAGTCTGCCAAAGGAAAGAATGCATGTGATACTCAAAATGTACCTAAAACAGACTTAAAAATTAGCTAATTAGCTAATATTTAAGGTGAAGAAAGAGGAATGGGGCAGACTGTTTATGTCCACATTCTGGTGGAATTCATCTGCAAACAGATGAAGATTATGCCAAGGCCACCAAGGAATGTACCTGATTAGTGAAGGCAGGAGACAATGGAAGCTCAGACATGTTCTTGGGTAGAGTTTCCATTGGGCAGTGACAGAAAAAGACTATCCAGGAGGTAGTTTGAGGAGCTGAACAGCAAACCAAAGACAAACAGCTCTAGACAAAGCTTGGATTTCATTCTGTAAGGTGAGCTTAAGTTCATACAGAGCACAAGATCTATCACAGTGATGAGAGCAATTACCTGGAAAAGACTTTGAAAGAAGATTTGGAATGGGGGGGATAAGATGATAAATAAACTTTAACAACACAGAGTTTGCTGTAAGCTTCCTGTTCAGCTGACAAGCTATTCAAAGTTCCATGGATGCATTGAAAAGTTGGATCAGTAACTGATTTGCCCTCTGTAGAACCAATATCTATTATAAAGATTAATTTTTTTATAGCACAATTGTTGTTTGACAGAATTACTGGTTGAAGTGTGTTTTTAAAGTTATTCAATGAAATAAGTTAACATAAAAGTATTAAAATATTATTAAAAATTTCAAAAATTGTCAGTATTCGTATGAACTATAAACTTTCAAAAATGAAAAAATATTATGTTTTTTCCACTCTGTTTGCTTTTAGAAAAGGCCTTTCATGTAATAATAATAAAGCTTGGTACTATGGAATATTGTTGATGGAGTTTAGATATAGAAAAGACAACTCTTTTTTCATTCATAATTCAGAATTGTATTAAGTCAACAACAGCAGTGACAAACTGTAAAAAACCCACAAGACATAAATCCAGTTTAAATCCTCTGTCTTCCATAATTTCATTAGGAAAAGAAATAAAGATATAAAGTGAGGCTATGAGGCTATTTTCTGGGGAAGTGTCTGTCATATAATCCTGTTTTCTAATGGTTTTGATTTTGCTGTATTTTAAACTGAAAATAAATTCAGAAAATGTAGTCTTTAAAGTTTCCATGCTGCATATGCTCTAGGTTGCTGTAGCACTGTACTGTTATTTTAAACATTGTTGATGTGTCTTTTTTTGCAAAATATTGAAGACTGAATTTTTACTTCAGTGATTTGTACATGTTTCTGAGAAGAAACAAATACCAACCTTGTCACCAGTAATGGGGGCAGGATTTGATATTTCTTGAAACCTATTTAAAAATTAATATTGAGGGATTTGAGTTTCCCCTTCCCGTTGCTATTGGTGTCAGTGGAGTTAACTAATAGTCAGCCTGTTAAACAAATTTTTGGGTTTGGTTGGATGTTTTAGTTTGAGATAACAGTTTTCTGTTCCTGCTGTTGTTTAACTTCTGTTTGAGACCAACAGCTCCAGGCAGGAGCTTAGACAGAGGCAGGGATATAGTTCTTGGATAGAATACTGCATTCCTATACAGAAGGAGAAGTAAAGTTTTGAAAGCCAGCCAGGTCCAAACATTGTTGCTAAAACTTAATAGATCAGACACCATAAATATTAAGGACCAAAATATTATCACTGCACATAAACAAAATTGCATATCCTGACAAATTTTACACACTTTTCTGAGAAGGAAGCCCTAAGATTTTATTTGAAAGGGACACCTCATGTTATGCTGCTAAAATCTGGCAAAGAAAATGGTCACTGAGAATGTTTGGTTTATCCTTTCATCCCTTCATGGCAGATTGTTCTTATGCTAAAACATTGCCAGTTTGTATTGTTGGAGGAAAGTTGAATTGGTTCAGCTTCAGGAGCAATTAAATGGCAAAAAGTAATAATATCATTAACATAAATGGTCAACAAGTTCATATGTTGTAATCTTTGTTTCCAAGTTGATGCTTTCAAGAACATGTATAAATTAAATGCTTTAATTCCGCTTCCAGTGCAATCTGTTTGGTTTTGATTGTCATCTACACCAGGAGCAGAGTTGTGCCTATGGAGCTTATTCTGACACTGTTCACACTAATGCAAAGCTAATAATGATGGGAAAACATCACCAGTGTGTGGCTGTTCCGTTTAAGCAGTAATTTTAAGACCTTTTGACTAATTGTCAGATCTGCCACTCACATAAGTGAACTCTGTGTTCCTGTGTTGCAGGCTCACTGGTCTTTTCTTCCTCTTTCCACCTCTTCTCCCCCATTTTTTCTTTTTCTTACATAATTTTTCTGTATCCAAGAGCTGTCCTCTGGAAGACTTTTTGGAGACTTCCAAGAATTGCAGTGAAACACTCTTCTTGATGCTCCAAGGAAAATAATGAAAACTGGTTGTGTTGCAAACATTTTCTCCTGCAAAATTCCAGATGTTTGAAGACTGACTCAAGATCTTTTATTTTCTTTAAAAGCAGGTCCCACAAAGTGGCTTTGGGAGAGATACAGGAGAAACTTTCTCTGCAAGACGAAAAACCAAACAGGAAGCCCAGGGTACTAAGCTTGTTTGTGCAGGAAATTCAGATTATCTCTATTTCACTCAGGTCAGCTCTCAAGAGTGTACAGGAAAACTGATATTTTACTAAAGGATTTCCTTTCGGATTTTCAGTGACATGTTTGGTTACCATAGCACTACTGTTTTGACCTGATGAACATTGTAAGGCTAGGCATGACATATTAGGGAACTGATGTTGGGGTTTTTTGTGTATGTATGTTTTGTTTTGAATGCTGAAGAAATGTGGTGAGGGCTGGTGTGTTGCTTAAACTGATTTTTGTAGAAATACTGCTAGAAATATGTTTATGAAGTGTTTATGGAAGTATCCAAAGAGTAGTGCGTCAAAACAGCTATACTGAAAGTTTTGCGGGAAAACAAACTTTGTATTCTTTCCAATGGTGTTTAATATTTCTTTACAAAAAGTTACTTGCTCTGAGCACAGCTCTCTGGAGCCTGGAAGCCTCCTTTCCTCCATGAAAGAAATAGTATTTCATTTTGAAGGTTACTGCATTTATACCAGGTGAGTTTTGAACACAAAAATTACTGCATTATCTACTGACATACTTTATTGTGTACTTGTAAAACAGAGATGAAAAGCAGATCTTACAAGCATTCTGAAAACAGATTTTATTTCAATTAGGAAATCTTTTTGATGTCTTGTAGCAAACTTGTGTTAGATTAATTTGGATGAATCTTAATAAATTAATGAATTAATTAGTACCTTCTCTTTTTGCATTTTGGTACAGGAATCAGGAACTTAAAGACCTGGGAGAACTTGCTCCTCACTGGGACAACATGCGCAAAAGTGTAATTGCTCACTGTGATCAGATGTTGAGCATGTACCAGGACACTCTTGCAGAGCTTGGGAAGCATACAGGTAGGAATCTCTGATTTTATCTGGAACATTTAAGAACTTACTAGATTGTTAGCTATGAAATGTGGGAAAGATATTTTGTGCTGTTCTTGTGAGCCAGTGAAGGCTTCCTGGAGATAAGGAAAGCTCCGTATCTTTCTCAAGGAACACATCAAGGCTATCACTATGGCAGCATGATAGAAGAGGGAAACTTAAAATATAAGGACGTTAGCTGGCTCACAAAATGACGTGGCTCCCTGGTTACCTATTAGGAACTTTGTTTCTTTTTTATTACCAGTGGGCAATGTATGTTTCTGTTAGGTAAATGTAAATTTCTTGAAAAACTATAAAAGCAACATGTTGCTGTAATAAATCTCTCTCATACACCCTTCTGATGGAGTCTGGGTGCTTTGTGCCGTGTCGCGCTCTATAGCAACAATGAAATACTGGCATATTCCGCAAGAATAAAATACACAAAAATCTTAGAATCAAAGGATGGCTTGGATTGGAAGGGATCTTAAAGATTATCAAGTTCTAACCCACCTGCCACAGGCAGGGACATCCTCCTCTAGACCAGGTTGCTCAAATTCCCATCCAGCCTGGTCTTGAATACTTCCAGCAGTGGGGCATCCACAGCTACTCTGGGCAGCCTGTTCCCATGTCTCACCCCCCCCTACATTAAAGAATTTCTTCCTAATGTCTAATCCAAATCTCCCCACTTCCAGTTTGAATCCATTCCCCCTTGTCCTGTCATCACATGATCTTGTAAATAGTCCTGCTCCAGGTTTCTTGTAAGCTCTCTCCATGTACTGAAAGGTTGCAATTATGTCAGCCTGAAATCTCTTTTCCAGGCAGAACTATTCCAATAAGCATCTCTGTGACCTGCTCTGGACTCACTCCAACAGGTCCATGTCCCTCCTGCGAGCCTAGAGCTGGATGCAGAGATGCTTGGTCACAGAAAAAGAGAAATCCTATTTTAGTGAATGAAAAAAAACCAGTCTCTAACTGAAAGTAAGCTTTTTGAAAGCAGTTGGTCAACTGCTTAAATATTTCTTGGGGAAAAAAAGCTCTTGTGTTGCACTAAATGTTGTATAATAATTTCTATTTTATTTGCAGAAGTGACATTTCTTGTATTTATGATTGTTTGCCATCATCAGAATATCCCAGTTCCAATTTTGGCAGCTACTGTCTAACGCAGTATGACACTTCCTGTGATTCTGTTTTAAATAATATATATATGTATTTTCAATCTTTGGCTAATTGATCTTGAAAACACTCCATAAAGTGTCATAAACAAGCCAATAAATATAAATACAGATAATGACGGATCCAATGTAATGATTATAACGTGGAGGAAAATATTGAAAGGATGATTTGAGAATTAAAAAAATAGACAATATAATCTATTAAACATAATTCCTGCGAGACCTGTATTGTGCAAAGTGACTTTCTAAATGGTTTATAATGTTAAAGGACTCCTCTTAATTGGGTCTTGGGAGAAATAATGTGGGCCTGGGAAACTGAGATTATCCAGGAGGAGCAAATCAGCACATATAAAAGACAAGGGACATTTATCAGAAAAAAAGGCAACCTAATAATTGTATAAAAATGAGAAGTAACCACAAGGTGTAATTTTTTTCATTTCTTCTCTATAAACAGTACACTTTATAACTTAAAAAAACAAGATTGTAGTCTTTGATTAGAAAAGCAAGCCAGACATAGATTTGACTTAATACTGTACTTGTACAAATAGTTATGTTGGGAGCACATTGTAGCTACTTGAAATTCAAGTACTTATGAAGTAGAAATTGCTAAGATTAGGGATGTGAGCACAATTTTAATTCAGACTTTTCAGGTCAACATATTTCAAGGCATGCCAAAAACCATTTTGCTTTTCAGTTTAGGCAGGGCAGGTGTCTTTCTTCATCTTAGAATATTGCCTGAGTTTGGGTTGAATTGTTCAGAAGGGCAGATAGCACCTGCAAATAAAATTTCTCCAAAATATTCTCATGCTACCCCAACACAATCTCATGTTGGGCTTTTTGAGTGATACCCACTTCAATTCAATGAAACTATTTGTGGAATTTAGTGGAGAAGGCTGTTAGGAGACCACTTAATTTCTTTTTGAAATGGAGAGATTTCTGTGGAAGTATGAGGAAACCACATTAGTGTTAGACAGCAATTTTGGTTCACCAGCATATTTGTTGAAAATGGATGTTAAAGAAAGTTAAGACTATTTCAGATTTGAGTTGTTTTGGCAAACACTTTAATCCTCATTAATGGGACAATTTTAGAGAATGTAAAGCATTTTATTGTAAGGAAACACATCAGGAAGATATAAGGGTTAGGAAACAAAAACCCCAGTAATTTTAGGTAAACCAAAAGTACAGATTTGATGATATTGAGAGGGAGTGGAACTTTGAAAATTATTTGTTTCAGTTTGACCTGAAATCATCCGCAAATGATTTCTGCTACTCCGCAGTTTACTTTTTTTTTTTCAGTTTCAGTCATCAGACAGAAAAATCTATTATTCATCCAGCCTGAGAAGGGGGAAGAAAGACAATCAAGGCTAAGGCAATTGAATATTGTTCTCAAAAACTAGACACTATCCCTGCCTCTGTCACAAATCTCCTCTGTGGGCAAGTCAGACTTGAGAAGTGGATAGTGTGTTCTTTTACGGAAGCCTGGCACTAGACACAAGTTGTTTTGCAGAAGTGCTTGGTACTTATGGATGCAATTCAGCCCAGTGGGAGCTATGCTTCCAAAATGGAATGTGTTGTTGCATTATAATGAGTGTTCTGCAGGACAAGTTCTCCCATATCTTATATTGATGCATTGTTTTCTTAAATGTTTATTCCCTAACATAAGGATGGGTGAAATTATAACTCAACCAATTAAAATTATTTTATCAAAATTTGTAAAGTCCTTAGAGGCTGTTAATATGTATATAGTAGACAGGTTTGAGGAGATTAATAACCTTGACTTTGAGGGAGGTTTGAGCAACATGTTAAAATCCTGAATAAATATTGAAATAAAAGTTGGAAACAAGATATTGAATCACTGCTTTTAAATGGAGCAGCAAAGACACTGAACATTCAATGAACTGGTAAAAGCTCATACATGATATATTATTGAAGCCCATTTCACAATTCTTCTTTAGGTGGATGTCAGATGAAAGTTGCATCTATATTCTGGTATTTCCTAACTTTGAAGAGTTTGATCTTGCAACAATAATAACAAGAACTGTTTTAATTGAGGGAATGTAATTTTTTTTTTTTTTTTTAGTTCTTAAACTTAAGAAGTTACTTAAAAACAGACTATACTTAAAGTTAGTTTTATTGTATGGATGCTATTGGTAAATGCAGATAGAGATGTTAATTCCACTGCATGGATCTCATACCTGAGCAAATCTAGTGACTGATAGCAGCTGGGTGGTCCTTATCCAGTAATTTTCTGGCACTGGATGGGAAGGGATACCTGCTTCACAGGTCCTCCCTGAAAAAAGGAGAAACACAATTCAGCAATGCTGCATATCTTGTGCTCCTGCTCAGGGCAGAAGTGTACTCTTGAGAGCAGGCTCTTCTCCCTCCTACTATTCTTTCACCTGTCAAATCTGCTCTCATCTTATGTTCCCCTTGTTCAGCCAGTGTCTCCTTGTCTCAGGTCCATTATCAATCCTTAAGCTTTGAACTTGGTCTCAGCTGAATTCTCAGAAATAATCTTCCCTCCTTCTGTTCTGTTTCCAAATTACTTAGAGTCTCCTTCCCTCCTATTTTTTAATAATATTCTCATTTTTTAAATTATTCTCATTTATTTTCTCATAGTTTGAGTTGCCTTTGCTACCCCCCTAACTGCCTGTGTTTTTCAGATGCATCATCAACAGCTCCTGATTTCAATCTGCATCATAGGGCTTCCTGTCTAGTCTAAAATTTTGACTCCTGTGAATTGCTTTTCTTCCTGGCTTTGCTCTTCATCTGTATTAAATTATTATTTTAAGTTCCTAAGCTTAGGGAGCAGCCTAAGCAAGCTTGGCTGGTCTGGAGCATCATTGGTGCCCACTGGCAGAGTGGTTTATATTGGGAGGCTCAGTGTTTAGTCCTGCTGGAAACTATGGCAGTTTCAACAGAAAAACACTAGCAAGTCTTGACTGAGCAAGCAAAAAGCAATTTAAAATATTTCCTTTAACTTTTTGACACACAAAAAGTTTTTTTTTTCTTTTTTTTTTGTTTCAAAAAAAGGCTGAACCTTGGCAAAACTTATTTAAAAATTCTATCTGAATGAGAGGAATTTTAGTTCTAATAATTAATAGTTGACAAAATGATAGGGTGTTGAAAAAGTGGCCTAGGTAAACATTGAGCTGCCTGAGTTAGAAGACAAGGCCATCTCTCTTTCCTAATCTGCACCCTTATATTTTATACAGATTCTGTATTAGATATCTTCAGGTAAATTATATTTTCATTCTGTCAGACTTTAATTATAGTCCTTTACACTTCCATAAAACTACTCATTATCTAATGTTTTGGAAATATGCAGCCACTTTCTTTTTTTTTTGTTTTGTTTTGTTTTTCCAAGGCATCATGCCTCCTGCGAACAAATATATATCTTTCCTTAAGATAGTCTGTGTTTCATTATTTGTGCTTTCTAGGAAGAATGCATGGCCTAGTCAATATAATATTTTGAAGAAAAAAATCTTACTTGGAAATATGCAGTGCTATCATAGTTCTGTAACTTTGCGGTTTTAGCACAGAATAAACATAATGCATGTTAACTGCTACATTGTCTCCAGCAGACTACAGACTGATTTCAGACAGCAGGGAAAAGTATCTATCTCCCAGAATAAAAAAATTAGATTGCTCTGTGAATTAGAAGCTGGTTTGTTGCTTCCAGTATGGATACATGCTGAGACTCAGTTAGTAAACCTTTCATCTCGTAATTTATAATTACCCATTGAAGGTAAATTAAAGACAACTCCTCACATACAAGTATCATCCTCGCTTTAGAAGGAATACAAAAACATCTGGGTGCTTAAGACAATGATTCTTTAAACTTTTGTTTTTCAGGTTCTTCCTTTAAGTCAAGCTGTAGCAAAGGAGAAAAAACACTAGAATTCATCCCAATAAATCTTCATCTGCAAAGAATGCATGTGCATAGTCCTCAATTCAAAGGTAAAGAAATTCCCCAAGTATGACAGAGTGTGCTTTGAAATACAGTTTCACTGAAATTTAGAAATCATGTCCAAAGTCAAACCTCTACAAGGAATTTCCCTGCCTCATCTTCTGATGCCACAAGTTGTGGACATTGACTGCACATCTTGGAAAACTAAGGGCTGATTAACTAAATTTCTTCTAAGTTCCTTTCTAAAAATGGATTCCAGGGATGTGCTCATTTTGTTCCTTTGACACTTCAAGAAATAAGTAAGTGCAGAATATATGCTCACTGAAATGTATTGGTAACCTATGCATGGTTAAAAATATTCTGTTGTAGCAGTGCAGAACTAATACTGTCCTGATTCGTAGTGACACACTGCACAGTGCTCAGTAAGATTCATGTCCTTCTTGGACACCCACTTAATTTTTCATTGTGATCCATAATGCTGTAAAAGCCATGCTGTAATGCTCTTGTTTTAAGGTGGTTTTTCTTCTTCCCCCCCCGCCCCCCCCCCAAAAACCCATCATCACCAGTTTGCCACCAGAGATAGTGATAGACCACAATACAGTACTTTTTCTCCCAGAGATTGCTGGGATGAGCTCACCTGCCCTGGTGATGGGAGTTACATGGTTCCATAAAGGACAGTATTACTTCTAAACCTAATTTATCCTATTTCTTAGGAAGTTGTAATGAGCCCAGCACTGCTTGGTTCTAAATCAGCTTATGCAGTGCTACTTTGTCATGCCCACCTACCCCAAGTAAGCGTTTGCTCAGTTACATGAAAATACCTCACTGGTTATTGTTGAGTATGCAGGGGGTCCCCAGGACGAGGTGAGAGATGAATCTGACTCCATGTTCTCAGAAGGCTATATTATATTATATTATATTATATTATATTATATTATATTATATTATATTATATTATATTATGCTATACTAAAACTATACTAAAGAAAGGATACATCAGAAGGCTAACAAGAATGAATAATAAAAACTCTCGACTGCTGCCAGAGTCCTGACACAGCTGGACATGATTGGTCATTAAGTTAAAACAATTCACATGAGACCAATCAAACAACCACCTGCCACATTCCAAAGCAGCAAAACAAGAGAAGCAAATCAGATAATGATTATTTACGTTTTCCTCTGAGGCTTCTCAGCTTCCCAGGAGAAGAATCCCGAGCAAAGAGATTTTACAGAAAATATCATGGTGGCAGATTATGCTGAAAATACTGCAAACTTCCAACATCACCTGGAAAGGGAGATAACTTTCTGTAACATCATCTGTGGTTCTTTTTAACACAGAATTCTGTTGTTGCCACTTGCATATGATTTTAGCAGCTTCCTTTACAGATCAAAGATTATACTGATACATATATATGACCAAATCATGGCACAGCGAATAATTTGTTGATAAATTGAGATCTGTTAAATTTGCTGTCACTGCAAACACAGAAATTACATGCTGTAAGGTTTTTGCCTTATTAATACACTCTACACCTAAGATTGTAAAACAGTAAGTACAAACAGTGGTAAAACTTCTATTTTATACTGTGTGAGGCTGATGTTTATCCACTTCTACAGGGCCTTCCAATTATCTGTTAGATAGTGGTTGGGTCAATATTTTGTTATTTCTTTTACTAAAAAACTGTGCCTCCAAATATTTCAACAAGATGGATATTTATAGTGACATAATGTGATAGCATGTTGATGACTCTCTGTGTGTGGAGACACGAGGCTTGACTCTATTTCAGAAGGCTGATTTATTATGTTAAATATTATATTAAAATACTACATTAAGACTATACTAAAAGAACAGAGAGATCAGAAGGCCACAACAAGAACAGAACAGAATAGAACAGAATAGAATAACAAAATCCTGTGACTGCTCACAGCCTTGGCACAGGTGGCTGTGATTGGTCATCAATGGAAAACAATCCACATGGACCAATCATGGATGCACCTGTTGCATTCCACAGCAGCAGATAGTAATTGTTTACATTTCTCTCCTGAGGCTCCTCAGGAGAGGAAAAATCCCAGCAAAGGATTTTTCATAATATTATAGCTACAATAGCACAGATTTTAATTTAATGTTTTCAAGTTAATTAATTAACTCAAAAGGATTTTTAGGTTTGTAATGGTGGCCAGAAGCTCAACATTGTCTTTTCAAGAAAACCTCTCTGTGAACAGGACACTGTATGTCTGTTCGCTAAATAAAAAGAAAAGTGGAATGAAATATGTGACTTACTTAAGCACCCACAACTTTTATAGTACTGGAATTTTGTTGTTGTTTTTTTTTTTGTTTTTTTTTTTTTTTTTACAAATTTTCTCCCTTCTTCTCCAAAACCATTTTGCTTGGGTCACATGGTTAATCCATAATCAAACAGAAAGAGATAAATGTTAGAATTGTTCGACTTGTCTTCTAAATTTGGATCTTTAAATTATAAAACTCTGCCTCTATTACCTGACTAATGTTCACTGTGTCTTGTATTAGATATATACAGTCTAAACAGTTTCTAGCAATTGCTAATCAATCAGGAATAGGCAGTACTTGGATATTAAGTGGGTCTTTCTCAGGTCATGCTTTGCTTGGCATATATCAAAGGACACCTGGAATATAACCAGGAGAATGACATTGGATGGGGGAGAATAAAAGTTCATAGAGGTTGCATTTAAACAAGCCAATGATCCATGGAGGTGTCATTAACCCTTACACTATCAGTTATCTTAATTTTGGGAATGCAAGATAGGTTTTAATCCCATCTATTGTATATACACATTGGTATGTGTTTTCTTTGTGTTGGACATGTATAATACCAGGTGTACTTTTCCTGAACTTTTATTTGGGTTGTTATTGGGTACTGACATGGAAGAGAAAGTGTGCTTAAGCTTTCAGTAAGAATAGCTTTGAGAAAAATAGTATTTTCCTATGGGTCAATGGTATCCTTATCCATTTGATAAACACCACATTGTGCTCTGTTCATCATACTAGAGAGCTTAAATCTATATATTGACATAGCTTCGCTTTTGTTCCTGTTTACAATATGTGCTGGTTTTAAATAGATTTGGTGAACTGCAGTGATTTTTGTTTTGCATCTGGCCAGTTTAAGACACTGACTGCCTCCTGTGGAGGAAGACAGCTTGACTTAAAATTGAGATTGAGGTGTTCTTGACAGCAAGATACAACTCCTGTGGTGCTCTGCTGCACGTTTAAGCTCTGTTTTCACTGCAAAGGGGTGTCAGCAGTAGCCTGCACTTGCTTGATGGTTATGAGTTACTGGAGCACTCCTGCAGCAGTGCACTGATGCTGACACTACATGTCTTTCACAAGGAGCTCCACTGATGTGTAAGTAGAGCACATCAAAAGACATTTCTCCCAAGCCGTGCAGCACTTTCTGCTGCACTGTGCTCTGGAAAATGGGAATGAGATTGCCCTGTACCCATCACCAGGTGTGGATGTTTGCTCCTCATCCTTTACCATCCTCACTCTCCCATGTAGGTTGTGGGAGGCAGGTACTCAGCTGTGCTGGGTGTGTTTCTGTCTCAGACAGCTGCTCCTCTACTACACTGAGAAGAGACCATAGGCTGAATAAAGGCTCCCTGCTGGATAAATCCCCCCACCTCCCAAAGTAACTATAAACAGGGTCATGTCTATTTTTAAAACAGTCAGAAGCAGGTTTAGTCTTTTAAAGGTTTTCCTGTTGTTTCATGAGTTATCTCTAAACATTCAGAACCCTGATGAGTTCCTCTCTTATCTTGATTTCAAGCCACTGCTGTTTTAAGCAATAGAACTCCTTATTGTCAAGTACTAGTGGAACTCTAATAGCCGAAAAATATGTATTATGAATAAATCTGTAATAAGACCTGAAAGAATGGGCTATTTAGGAATCTTGAAGCTCACCTTAGGCTAATGAAATTATGTCACTTCTCCTTTTTAAGTGGATATTGAAGAGTCACCAACTCAGTAGAGCTCAAATCAATTTGAGCAAATATGTTCTGAGTTTCAGCTCAGGAAGTAAAGCATAGTTCATTAACTGTGAATCATTTGTACAGTGTTCATGCTTCTAGGGATATTTATCATCAGAATGCAAGTTCTATTTTAGGAGAGGTCTAGATTTTAATTTACATGGGAAACTTCTTTGATGACTAAAACAGTTCTCAAAAAACATCCTGTAATGTTTCCTTTACAAATAGATTTTAAGAATGAGGCATTCTGAACTGTATTTTAATACCTCCAGTAAGTTCAGGTACAAAACAGGTACTTACTGTAAATGTAAATTTAAACTTAGAAGAAATAGTTATGTGGTGTGGGATGTAATTAAATCTTCATCTCTGCACTGACAATCAATCACAAGCTCTTTGAAAAATGATGTTTCACCTCCAGTTCTGTAAGCATATATCCACACAAAAAGTTCATCCCCTATGCCATAAGGCATCAGGTATATACAGAAAGAGACAACAGATTGTTTTCTCAGCAAGAATTTCATTAGTATGGTTTATTTCCTATTCTGGTAGCTTCTCAGCTATGAACAACTGACTTTCTCTATGTTTATAAACATATATAAAAAGTGTATGTCATAGAGCAGGGCTCACCAATTTAGCATTAAACACCATTATATCTGAAAGTACAGTAGCATTACATCTAAACAAATTCAAACTAGAAAAGGAATTGGGAATGCAGTGAATTCATTGTCACTTGAAATCTTTAAATCAAGATTAGATGCCTAAACAAAGAGATGCCTTCACTCAACCAAGAGACAAGCGTGATGCAGGAATTATTAGCTGTAATTCTGTTGTCTCTGTGATTCAGTGAAACTATTCCATCATAATGGTGTCTTTTGACTCTAAAATGCTTGAATCTATGCATCCCAACATGACTACAAGTTAAATAATGAAAGGGGCAATAAAATGAAATACACAATGGGCCAATTTACTTGGTAGCTTTGTAAACTGCAGAGCTGGAATATTGCTCTATACAGTGGCACATAATTTAGATATAGCCATAAATCAAATGAACTTCTTAAAGTGTGCAGGTGGCTGTATAGAAAGATTGATTAGCTCTTGGGCCTTCTTGGCACATGGATTATCAATTATTCCCTGGAAATTATATAGACTTATCCTTACTTTTTGTGGAGTAGATGTCACAGTGTTGCCATTCAAATGTCTGTGTTTCTCTATTCCCATTCCAGATGCTCTGTATGACGTTATCACTGTGGGAGCCCCGGCAGCGCATTTCCAAGGATTTAAGAATGGTGGGCTCCGGAAACTGCTGAGTAAATTTGAGGCAGAAAGACGAAAGTAAGTATTCTTTCTGGTAGCTGGGAAAATACCATTAAGGTTGCATTAAAATGTTGTCAGTTCACTGAATAATGAAACAGTTTATCCTGCTGAATGAATGGAAGATTAAAATCTAGTAGGATTGGACATTGCATTCATAAAATATTTCCTTTTTTTTCCCCTGCTTTTATGAAAATTGAAGCACAGTCTACTTTTAGTGTTAAGACTAATTTTGAATAAACACAGGAAATGACCTCAAGCTGTGCCAGGAGATGTTCAGGTTGGGGATCAGGAAGGATTTTTTCATGGAGAGGTGTTGTATTCCATTTTATTTAAATGGTATGCTCTGTCTCACCCCTCCGAAATGTATGGTATATTCTAAGCCTGTGGTCCTGCCCTGAACCATCCTGTACCTGTCATCCCATTGGTCCAATGTGATTCCGCGCCCACTTCAGTCTCCCTCTTAAGCTGTGCTATGAGATCAGTCGGGCTTAGCCCTTCCGCTCTCTCAGCCTCTTCCCCTCCTCTTGCCCCTTCCCTCCCCTCGGCTCCCCCTACTTCCCCCTTCCCCCCTTTTCCCTCAGTAACCATGCGGTTCCCGGGGTTGGGACCCCAAATAAACCTTCATCTGATCAGCATCCTCAGAAGCCGTGTGGAGTCTCCTTGCCTGCCTGCTGCTGCCAGCCAGCTCACAGCCTAGGGGACCCTCCGGGGACATCCCGGGGTGCCTCATCCCAAAACGCACCGCAACAGAGAGGGTTGTTGTGCACTGGAACTTGCCAGAGAAGTGGTGGAGTCATCATCCCTGGAAGTGCTCAAGAAAAGACAGGACTCGGCACTCGGTGCTATGGTTTAGTTGATATGGTGGTTGTTCTGTCAAAGATTGAACTCGATGATCTTGGAGGTCTTTTGCAAACTTAATGATTCAGAATTGTGATATTTTTCCTCATATTTTAGGAAGCTGGAGGTATATCAGTACTTGAAAAGCTGCTGTTCAGAATGAGGCATTTGGCAATTCTTGTGCTAAGAAGAATGCACCTGTAGACAATTTTTAAATACGGAAACTGTAACTTAAGGTAGCAACTTTATTTCTGACAGGCCTGAGTGTATGCTAAGATAAAAGTATTTTCAGTACACTGTGAAAAAACAAACTAGTCTTATTCTTCAGAAAGCCAAAATAAGACTAATCAAAAATAGTTTATTGTGGAACTCAAATGCTTTGTTCACGGTTGAACATGCACAAAAGTGTTAGTTACATCTTTTCCTAAGAATTGGATGTATTTGTGTTTGTTACTATGGCTGTTCAGATTTTCAAGCAGGCACAATTGTCACTGGCAGCACCTGTAGTTGTGACTGCTCAGTGCTTCAATTGATGGTGCTAACTGTGGTGTTACAGCATTCCAAAGAGAATGCAGGAAGGAAGTACTCTGATCTCAGTTATCATGACAGGCCACAGAAAAATAATTCCATTATATTCAATGCTCAAAAAAGTTTCATGGATAAAATATTGTAAAGAAAAAATGGAAAATTATTCAAATCTGCTGTTGACTTCTGGGTTGAATAGGAGTTGGCATTAATATTAAAATCAAACAAAACCCAGCAGATCTAGTTGTTTTGAAAGCTGTATTAATGAGGGGGTCTTGCTTGCACGACACAGTATAAAAACCCTGTTAAATCTTCAAAAATCTTTCATTTCCCTGACCACCTCTGATGCTGAAACCTGCCAAATGAAACATGTACATCATGTTGATCACATAAGACACATCAATGAACTCTGTGTTAATATTGTGCTGTGAGCAAACTGGTAGGGGCAGCCTTATCCCCATCATATGAAGGCCCTACAAAGTACATGTTTTCTGCTGAAGAAAATGTCTGAAGACATTTCTTAAAGTATCTGTTCCTTTACTATCTGATTAATGTAGTTGCAATAGTGGTTTGTGGGTTTTTATCATAATAATTTATAACTGGAGCCGCAAGATATAAATAATATAATAGACATAATCGTTTAAAGTCATATGATATACAGTTCTTGCAGTGCTCAACTTTCAGAGGATGAACCATTTCTTACTACCTCAGTCCTGCAGCATATCCATGCTGGCAAAGTGCGACTTCCGAAAATGGAGGATAGCTGTGAGACAAATTATTCTCTGTGATTTCACTTCAGTGGAGAAAAGAGAAAATGCCTTATAGGGAAGAGAATGTCTTCCTGGAAGAAGACACATTGCAGTATCTCACAGGCATCACTAGACATTGCCCATGTGTCTTAGTTGCTGGTAATATGGGGGAGGAGATGATGGGTGAGAGCTTTGTGCAGGTTCTATCAAGGCATTTCAGGCCTATGTCAAGAGCCTGCATATCACCGGCTGGGGGCTATGTACAAACCACAAATGGAACAGGACTGCTAGGAACATGTCTTGAGCCGTTTTATTTTCCAGCATGTCTCGTTACATGGTTATGACAATGGGAAGATGCCAGCAGCTCACATCCCAGGCAGCAGACCAAGAAGTTAATGTTACAACTTACTTTATTCGTTTTTTGACCAATCACACAAAGCAAAGCATATTGACAGTACTTCTATCCAACCACTATAAGCACATGTACCTTCTGTTAAAACAATGTTTGCTTATTTCTAATACAATACCTGTTTGTAAGCCTTAAAACACAATGCACAGAGTGCCGTTATTAAGCTTAGAACTTCCTAATATCTTGGTAGATATACTTTTCTGCAGCTTAGGGAGTTCTTCTAGACAAGTGTTAATGCACAGACCATTGTTCCATTTGTCCTTACTTTTCTACTTTTTACATAATTTTTCTGCTAACTTATTTTATGGCTACTGCTTAGCTCTAATCACAGTTCTGCTGTCTCTGAGGTCTGCCTTTCACAGCTTTCCCAAAACCCTCTGATTTTATGGATTCCCACACCGCACATCACTTTACATTTGCTCTGCTGTTTAGATTTTCCTGCACCCCTCAGAAACACCTGTGTTTTGACAATTTTTAAGGACAGGGTACAAGAAGTTTACTCTGACAGTTTCCTTTATATTCCTGGGTTTTCCTGGAAAAGCAAAAGTCTGTCTTCAGGATGACATAACTAGGGTAGCTATATTACTATCCTGTTACTATCCTGTGTTCCTAAAAAATTAGCCTGAGTCAGTCTAGGAAACTGAAGTTTGAGCACTGAAAACAGTGCACTGCAGTTTTCATCTAATCACTTGCCAGAGCTGGGGAAGTGGTCACTTGTGTATGAATTTCCACAAACCAGAAAGGAGGAAGCCTCCAAAATCATATTTCCTGCTATCTTTTAGAGCAGCTCAGAGAAAACTCCATGTTTTGGTTTTTCAGCTTCAAGAACGTGTGTGAGTTGAAAGACAGGAGTAAGCAAGCTCTCAATACAATCTCACTTAATGAATATTCAGGAGGGAGTCTGCTTTAAATACATGAAAGGACCATTCTCAATCTTATAATGGAGAAATTTATTTCACTGTGGTGATGACAACAGTGTTATTTTGCATACACCTGTTTATTTCGCTGTATAAAGATGCTTTGAGGACTCATAGTGTCCTCAAAGGTGCGCCTTTTGCAATTTAAATTTCCTCTTTTACAATGGGGGCAGATTTTCTGAAGATTTTGTTGAAGGAAGAAGTGACGCTTTGCGATATCAGTCAGTATATAGAATGAACAGAAAAAATGCAGATTCAGCAGCCATTTTCTCTAGGCTAACTGAGCTGAAGACCTAGAGCAAGATGTGGTCAGTATATAGAATGAACAGAAAAAATGCAGATTCAGCAGCCATTTTCTCTAGGCTAACTGAGCTGAAGACCTAGAGCAAGATGTGGGAAGAGATTAGTTCTCAGCAAGTCCTGGTAGCTTTCAAGATGTGACAGAATTGCCTTGCATGTCTTTGGCCTTCAGTCTGATTGTTAGAACAGTTTATCAAAATACTCATCAGTGTCAGCATATTGCAATATATTTCATGCTCAGTCTTAGACTTGTGGAATTAACAGGCAAAGAGGAATGGTTATCTGGTAGCATTTGCAGTTGCGAAACAATAACAAGACTGAGACATATGTTTTGTGAAAGTTTATCAAACAGAAGAATGTGGAAAATGTGTATCTGAAGATAGTTCAGGCATGTTTTCTGTTACACAGAATATGCATCTTTGTGCACAAAGGGAAAACCCTGTATAAACATATTTACAAAAAATGCAGTGTTTTTGCAATTCTTCTCTCATTTATTACCATCATGAATGTCATATCCAAATATTTTAAAAGCATATTAAAAAAAAAGGTCTGAAATAAGAACAAGAAAGGCTTTTCTTCAGGTGAAAAATATAGAATTTTCTGGTATATGATCTGAAGCCCATTCCATTGCATACTATTCTTCATATGTACCAGAGATCAAAGGTCCTTCCACTATAAACATCAGTCAAGTCTATGAGGCATGGCTCTATTATGTCTGTCCCTTTAGTAGCAGGTAGTGAATTTCATAACACAAGTAAGAACAATTGATACTTTTAAAAGTTTTTGTTTAGGCATGATGGCATTTACATTAAAATACATTAAATAGGATGATTAAAATATGGTAAATAATTACAAAATATTAATTACTTGTGTATGATATACATTTATTTTAAAATATTTTTCATTATTCTGTATTGGTATGTTCTTTTAATTTTTTTCTTTTCCTATAGCTGTATAAAATAAAAAGTCAGGCAGTTGTTCTGATACAGTCTCTTTTGGCTTGATAGTATAGATTATTTCTCCTTCCAGCAAATGGAAGGGCTTGTCTTCTCATCAGTATAGATGGCACAACAAATTATTGTTTTTAGAGCTCAGCTGTGCGGAAACATTTAAATCAGATATTCTCTAAGTTATACCCATCTAGTGCCTCACTGATTGAAGTGTTCATAAATAAATTCAAGATACACAAAGGACCTTTTTTGTTATTTAAAATCTAATTTAATCATCTCTGTTTTAACCAAAACACATAGACTTATAATTGCAAATTTTTAATGCCCCAATTCTAACCATCAAAAAAAAGAGGTGTGTACAATCTGCATTAGGTGCTGTGATTCACTGTGGATTTATACATAATTTCTAGCAAGCTGTTTGGAAATGATCCTGCTTTAAATTTGCAAAATGTTTAAACTGGAACACTGCTGAAAAAGACTTTCTGTTAGGGTTTTTTTTTTCCCCAATGCTGTAATAATTTAATTAATTTAATTCGGGTTTGAACAGTCTAAAAGGACTTTTTCTTGTTTGAGGCTTAGATTTTTGTAAAATATGAGGTGTGCTCCTTCAGTAAGGTAACTTTTTGGTGACCAGAGATTTTATTAATGTTGCAATATTCTGTGTTCCTATTGCCTGAATTTTGTAGCCTTCAACCCATTCCCATTCTCTGAGGAATCAGAATTGCCACCATTTCGCAGAAAGTCCCAGAGATATTGAAATAATAAAGATCTGTGTTTGATCTAATTGTAACCTTTCTTCTCAAAGGAAATGCCTGCCATGCCTAACACTTTTCATGTGATTCTTTGCTCACTTTACCTTATTTTTTGCATGTATACCTGTGTGTGAGGAAGAGAGATTGGACTTCATAGAGTTAGGAATGAAGAAAAATAGAGAAGCAGCAGGAAATGTGCTATGCGTACAGCCTTAGCTATTTGCTTCAAGAAGAGGATTTGTGGACATTTGGTCATCATAGACAGAACTAACAGCATCATTCCATTTTCCTCATATTCAACATTAGAATTTCCAAGGTGGCAAGGGAATCTTAAGGAAATAAAAAAAAACAAAGTAATTCAAACTTCTAGTTTCTTTCAAGCCCATTTTCATAACCTCAGCTCTGATCATCTGGTTTAGTTTTATTTCCTGAGATCATGAATTATCCAGAGTTTTTTTTGTAGCAATTTATTTTTGATCATAAGTTCCCTCTTTAGATAGAATACATATGGTCCATAAGTAAGCCACTGAATCGGTATCTTCAGTAATGTAGATAAAATTCAAGTTATCTAGGGGTAGATGTACTTGTTGTGTATGATTTAACTATATTCTTGATGCTAATGTCTGTGGGTTTGGCTGTGGAAAATAGGAGGTCAAATGTTCATTGCTGGAAGACTAAGCAAGTCCCAAATGATGACAGTTTAACTCAGTGATAAAAATTACGCAGTTAACAGTGGGAATGGGGTAACTCAGAGGTTCATTATAAATTAGACATTTACCATACTGCAGTATTTATTCTCAGGCAAAAACTCTGTTAATCTAGAATTAAAATGTAGCCAATTTAATATTAATTCAAATGTCTTGGTTTGAAAGACAGGTGTCTGCCAAGGAAGGCAGGAACCTCCCTTGGAATAGAAAATATGACCCCCTACCCTCCAAATGATTGTAACTTTAAAATTACAGGGCTTTTAGGCAAAGACATGGAAAAAGGAATAACACTTCTTTACTAGAATATACGTACATAAATACAAAAATATTTTTAAATATATATATATATATATATATATATATATATATAAAACATGGCAACAAACAAACACAACAGCAGCACTACAAGCAGAACAGAAGCAGAAACCCACCCACAGCTGTCTCCACTTCACTGAAAGGGAAAGAGGTAGCTTTCAACATCTGACAGAATTGCCTTGCAGATGAGGGAATGTCACTGACTTGTAAGTAGTAATGTCTTTTCATGAAGGGTAAGGCCACAGAAAACCTCAGCTAGTCATAGATGCAACAGTGTGAAGACAACAGTTAGAAACTTCAAATACTCCTAAACATGATGTTTCTGAAAAATAATTACTCATTCTTTTAGGGAGATGGAGGAAGTTGTCCTCAAATTATGAGAGATACTAAATATTTGAAGTTGTGTCATGCTTACTATGGTTCTGGAAATGTTTAAATTATCCAAATAATTACCAGTCTGGTAATATAATTCATTCTGAAGAGTCATCCTCTCTTCACTAATTCCTTTACCTAAAAGCTATGATTTCCTTAATTGCAATGACAACTGCCCACACCTTTGGTGTCACTCTGCCCTCTTTCTTACAGTGGTGTCTGTAGCTTTTCTGCTGCAATATTCAGTGAAGCTTAGAGCTGTGGGAGATCAGTGAAAATTATCTGGGATTTAAAGACTGAGGGAAATCCCAGAAAGGAGTATGTGCATGGTGAGCTTGATAACAGCATTAGCCAGATTCTGCCTGGAAAAAAGACTGCTTGATAAAGGGAAGGAAAAGCCTGATGGGGAATTAGAGAAGTATCAAGACTTTTAAGACTATGTCTTCACTTCAATTAGCATAGACTATTACTCTTTGTCCCTGCCCTATCTACTGAGCCTGGCTGCTTGAGTGTTCCAGTGAATGTAGTGCTAGGTCTGACTCTGGAAGTCCGACTCACTAACAGTGTATCCACCTTGAAGGTAGAACTGTGGCAGTTTCCTTACTACTCAGAGGGACAGAGGTTTGTTTGGGTTTTTTCCCTAATTCATGAGGAGAGACAGTTTATATTATTAATTTTGCTGAAATACTCAGAATTATGACTTCTACTAGACACAAGTCTAATAGACACGAGTAGCTCATGTAAGTTGGAGATGCATCATAATTTAGATGTGGCTGGTAGCATGGCTGAGCTTTCCTCACTTAGATGCCATTCATCCTGACTACCTCTACAAAGAATTGTATCTAGGAATGAAGACATTGGTGAAAGACAGAAATATAGATTGGGTGTTGTGGAATAGAAGAATAGAATTGGGTATTGAGACTGTAACTCAGCAAAATATGTAAGCAAGAGCTTTAATTTTAAGAGTGCTTCAAGGTATCCGTATTTGCCAAAATCATAGAAGATGCTAAATTGGAAGGGGCTGATCAAGATTTAGTTTCTAATTTGTAGAAAACTAATGAGAAGGAACTGGAAATGACTCAATAAAACACACAAAGGGGAAGTGGGGGGTGGGGGGAGTGAAGAGATCTGGATAAAGACTGAAATGAAACGCAATGCATAAAGTTCAGAGGATTGAACAAGTGTCAATATTTGGTCTGGGTATGCAAAATCAAGAAAGAAAACAGTGGTGAAAGGGCTGAAGGGACTGAAGTACTTATGATGAAAAAACACAAGAGGAGAGAAGGGAGATACAAACACTACCAGCTGGTACTAGTATGTACATTCCTCTGGCATTGGTGATGTGCCAGGAGGTGCTTGGTTTGTTTTTTTCCTGTTTTAATCTGAAGCTGCAAAATATTTTGGAAAGACTAAAACAGGGCTTTATAAAAGGAAGAATTATGTACAAGAGGTTCAGGTGAGAAGCTGTGCACTACAGACATAAGCCAGTGGGTGCATGCATTCTGTCTGAAATGGTGTTTGAGAACAATGGTATAAGAGGATATTGCATAATTTGTAAGGGGGAGAAGAGGAAAGAGGGATAGAAATCCTGCAAAAGAATTGCAGTAGTTGAAAGTAGGAAGTTTGCAGTGTGAATTTGTGTGGTTTTGAAGTAATTCACTTCCACACCCCATTGCTATGTCTCTTCTTGCAAATCAGACACCTGTTTTTTATTGGAGATAATGCTGTTTATCATCACTTCCTGGACATCACTGAGGCTAATCAAAAAACACTGTGGGCCACTGAGGCTAATCAAAACACAGTGTGGGCCACAATTGATCAATTAAACATTAGTGACCCATTTTGAAAGACTTAGTGAGGTAGTTAATACTCTTTTGGGAAGTTCAGTTGGAAAAATAAGGAGCCTTATGCTCTTTGATATTATTACCTGACTTTGTCAAATATTTTCTATCTCTAGAATTACAGTGTTTAAAAGAAACATATAAAAATATGGGGGTTTTATGTTCAGATCAGTCACTCAAAGGAATTTTGTACTGTATTACCACATGCTCATGTGGTGGTGGGCAGTCTGATTTATGCTACTGTTCAAGGAAAGGTTTGTTTTTACTCTTAAAGGCAGGAGCATTTCAGTGGTGTCTATGAGGTTCAAGCATCTGGCTTTTTTTTTTTTTTTTTTTTTTTTGCAAAAGTAGTGGCAAGATTTTTAGCACAGTAAGCATTGCTATTAATGGCAGAAATGAATTTGACATTTTGTGACTCTCTGTTACCACAGTACTGGATACCAGTGTATTTACTATTCACCTGAAAACACAGCCAAGGCAAAAGAAGTTCTCAGCAACATCAGTCATCTGCAACCTCTCATATCAAGCCATGCAGACCTGCTGCTTAGTTCTGCAAGCCAGCGTTCTCCAGACAGCTTGAAGAATTCTTTAAAGATGCTTTCAGAAAAAGTAAGATTCAAATCCTCACTGCAATGGAAAATAGAATAACCAAGTCTCTCTAACTGCTGGGGAGGAAGGGGGGTTTCTGCATAAATTGACTTTCACAGCATCAGGAAATGTTAAATAAACTCAGCTAAAATAAGCATCAAAATGTTGTTATTAGAAAAATAATGTTATTTAGCATTTCTGTAGGCATTCCATATAGAAAATTAATGAAATCTATAAAGATTGCCTTTATTTAAAAGTACTTAATTCCGTGTATCTTCTTTATTCTGTAGTGGCCACATAGTGGAGTTTGTCAAAATATCAAAAATTATAAATAATTTTGTAGTATGAGAAGTCATTATTTTTATTCTCTTTCTGTTATATTTCAAGCTGCTGCTTGTGGGAGGTAGTTCAAGCCAGGTTGGTGTTTAAGGTTTGGAATAACAGCATGATCAGAAATGGTGATGCAGCCTGGAAGCAGAAGCTGGGAAATTTGCTCTAGAAGATCTCAAATTTTAATTCTTTCTCCTGTTATATCCATCTGTAACTGTAGGCTCTTCCTCATTTTAGTTCCTTTAGTTCTAAATTAGAGAATATAATATTTCCAGTCTCACAGACTGATAATGGAGATTAGCTGAAGCCTGTAGTACTTCCCAGCATATGTTCCCAGCACTATAGCTGTGACCTGAGTGGTTGTGAAAGTTCCCATTTCTCCATGGTCCACCCCTTCAGTAACGTGATCCCAGTATGGCTTAATAATACGATCAATCACCATTTCAGTATATCTTCAGCTATTGGGAAGTGACAGCCCTTGTGGTCTGTTGAGCACCATTACCCCACCAGTTCCTCATTCAGTGGAAAGTTTCAAATCTGAACATTGAGCTTGGCCACTTGCTGTGAAGGCATTCCAGAAGAGCCATGGGGGAGAGAAACATTGCTCTCAGTTGCAGATGTGTAAATCCACAGTAACTCTGAGAACACTGGAGTCACTGTGAATGTCAGGGATAATGGAAGCAAGCAGAATTCAGCCTGAAAATGAAGCAGAAGAATTTAAGATGGGGTTTGTAGCAATTACAGTGTACCTTTGCATGTAGGAGGGCATTTTTAGCTGTGCATAGAACAACTGAAGCTGCTCTGTTAGAGGTTAGTTCAAAGAAATCTGTAAGCGCAGGTGAAGAAAGTCAGACAAAGAAGTGTTTGTTTGGAAGATCCAAAGGGTGGTTGCTAAGGAATGTCTGTTTCCTCTGGCCATTTGCCTCTGGGCAGGAGGAGGGGATGATTTCAGAGGGGCTGCAGGCAGCCATGGCACTAAAGCATTGCTTGAACCGTGGCCTGCTGGAGATTCTGGCTATAGAAAAGGGACAAAAAAAGACAATTCATTTAGTTTGCAAAAGTCATAGGTATTTTACATTTATAGCTGGTGACTTAGTTGAGTATGTTCATATCAGCTTTTCAGGACCAGGATTAAATTGCTGTTAGTACATCAGCTCAGATTCCCGGAAGGAGTCTCACCCCACGTACTCCGTGGATGTCTAGTTTCCACCTTTAGCTTGGAAGAGATAAATCCAGTTGTCTGAACAACTGCAGCAGAAGTGGTTCAATACCTGCTTCCCTGTCTATTACCAAATTTACTCTTAGGAAAAGAAGGATAATAGAGAAATAGGGTGGATTGCTGAGGAAGCAAGTGTGGTGGGACAGCTGCTTGTGAAGAGGGGAAGAGAGATGGGGAGGAAAAGACTGAGAAACAACTTCAGGAAAGGGAAATACCATTTCAAAGCCCTAAACTCAGTGAACCCACACAATACTGAAATTAGATCCCTTATAGTTAACTCAAAGCCTTATATTGCTGTCTTAAAATATTCTGTCTATAGTCTGGTACAGTACTGGAGGACCAAGTCTACCAGAGTGTTCTTGCTTATATTTAAGACAGAGTAGCACATGCTCTGCTGAGTGTAATTACATGACACCTACTTTTACTCAAGGCATATGTAGTAGTTCTGCTATTCCATTTTTCCTACACTTTTTATATGCAAAAAATAAATGCTCTTATGTTTTAACTTGATAGAAATTTAGAAATTAAACAGCTGTTTGAAGAAGTCATAAACATGATTTGCCTGGTGATTAAATTCTGCAAGTTTATTAAAAAACATATCACTTGATATGTATAATAATTCTTTCTGTAATTATTAGGTAGCAGTGAGTAAATCTGAGCTATCAATAATGTGAATTACATTTAAGTGTTCATGTTGGAAATGGAAGGACTGGCTGCATGGGTTGGAAATGGAAAATTAAATCAAATCATTCCACTGCTGCTTCTTAAATGGAGCTTATTTTCTCATATGAAGAACGGTTTTACATCTCCATATATAATTTACAATTTACTGTAGTGTTTTCCTGAGACTAACCTTTTATCAACCCTTTTTGTTAATCAATTAAGGAAGCCTTTAACTATCAACAAGTGTATCAGCATTTGCAGCTTGCAGAAGGCTTGATAAATTAATTTTCCAGATATGCCTATCTTTGTTTGCAGAAATACTCTTTAGCAGAGTATCTTAAAGATTTTGCAGAGTTTTTATTTCTTTGCATAGACTGGTTTTGTGATTTCAGTGCAATTTCATAAATAGTGATGTTCTGCAAATTTAGCTGTACTGAGATGTTAGAAAGTGAGGTTAAAATGTAGACTGCTGTTAAACCAATGGGATCCCTAAATAGAATTTAATTACAGAATAATTTTAGTTTCTGCATGAAAAAATGGAGTCTCACTTCTATACTGATTTTCTTTTAAGAACTAAATTTCCCTATAAAATATTTCTATTCAATTATATTACTTAAACTTTGCAGTCATAGTGGACAATCTTTACATCAAGATTACTGTCCAATACTCATAATTTTTTGAAATGTAAAGTTTTTTTGAGTCTGCCATACTGAACCAGAGACCTGATATTATCTCAAACAGACATTGTGGGGAGGATAGGTATAAAACCTCAGCAAAACCATGATATTGCTGTTTTTAAGGATAGACGAGTAATGGAGTTTCAACTCTCTTGATGTGGAACTGTAGAAGAGTCTTGAAGAGGAGCTTTGCTGTTACAACACAACCCCTCAAATCTCATTGTGCCCATGGTAAGGCAAAGAATGGTAGGGCTTGATAGCACTATTCCCCAAAGACTAATTCATTCTCCAAGCATGCTCCATCTGGAAGCTGGAAATGTAAAAAACTGAAATTGTCCTGCAGAGCAATTCAGGACTATGAGGAGACAGTCCTGAGGGGCTGCATGTAAGAAAACTGTTTAAAAATACCCTTTCCCTCAGGCACCAAGTTGGTAATGAGGAGAAGGAATGGGTCTGGTGATATTGCCAGGGAGATGAGTAGTGTTGCCAAGTCTAAAGAATTCCAAGTCAGATCTGATTTTGGTTTAAAAAATCAATATTTTTTCTTAGATATGCCTACGGTTCTTATTTTTAGAACTGTAGAGATTTATTTGCAGTAAAATTTTCAGCCTTTCCATGTGAAACTATTTAGAAAATATTTTTTTCCTAAACATAATGAAAATGGGAAAAAAGCAGAAACTTCTCATTCAAGTACCTAACCCAGCAGCTGGAGCCTTAAGAAAATCGTCAATTTTTTAGAGCCTTTTTGTCTTAAATATCCATAAACTTTTGAGAGGGTATTGAGACAGGAAGTCAAGAAAAAGAAGTTGAGTAGGAGTGGATACAAAAGATGAACAGGTAGTATGAAAAAGGAATAGGATAAGAATAGAAGTGCAGGAACTGGGAGAAAAGACTCACAGGAATCTTCTCAAGAGTTCCAGGGAGATGCTTGACACTTGTTTGATTTGGGATTTTTTTGCTACTTTTTCCTCCAGTTTTTGCATAAGCAGCACATAAGGGCTGAACGGAGCTTGGCTGGGCAACCCTTATTTCTAGCATTTCCTGCTGGTTTAGGCTGGATCCTCTGACTCTTATCTACATACCTTCCCACATCCCCGTTTAATTAAGATTGTGTGCACAAAGGCATTTCAGCACCTGAATCTGCCTGCACGTAGCAATCCACTATGTTCTGGGATAATAAGGATTTAGTTCCCATGGACCTGGGATAAATAAAATCCCACTGACCTGGGATAAATAAATTCAGGTAATTGTGCTGTGAAAGAAATTTTCAGCCTCCCCTGTGAACCATGACTTCTGTCTGGGGAGGGGAGCTCTGGCTGCAATGTGTGGAATGTTCCATGGCAGCAGGGTGCACCCTCTCTCCCTGCTCTGACAGATGAACCCTGTTCAATGTTGTTGAAGTAACCAAAATTGGGACTCTTCCAAGCTGTTTCTGTGGCTTTGTTAGCTGTTACACCCTGTAGTGAAAGGAAGTGTCCTTGCATCTCATCTGCGCCTGTTCCATAGGTTCTGGCAGCTGATGGAGGGAATAAGCCAAGTCTCCCAGGGGAAATAGGGCACTGTGTTTGAGACAAAGGAGATGGGCATGTTTGACACACTGGTGGCTGTTGCAATGGTTGTGTTGACACAAAAGTGCTGTTGCAGTGGTGACAATCTGAACATGGTGAAGGCCATATGCAGAAAACATTTTACTTTTCTTGTTGAGGTGGAAGGGAGATGAATAATGCAGGAAGGTTGAAGGATTTTTAAAATATGGTAAAATTCCAGCTGTAACAGCCAACATAGAAAAATGACACAGAGATTGAATAGCATCTTCTGAAGACCCAAGAAAACTACTTCAGAGTTTCCTTTCTTTAAAATATACATAAAACCAAGATTAAAATCAGGTGTCACCTACCATGATATCTCGATTGATACCTACCAGTAATGAAATTTATCTCTGGAAACACTGCTTTTGCAGATACTGCTATTTCAGGGTTGTAGAGTGGTGGGTTTTATTTACGGAGATTATGAAACTGGTTAATTGTGTTTTATCTAACACTTATTCAGAAATTATTGTGCTGTGGTTGTTTACTCTTGGACCTGGTTCTTGTTGAGGCTTGCCTCTGAGGCAAAATTTGGAATTCGAATAAGGTGTGAAAAGATTGTTATCTTTATGACAGATAATGTACTCTTGTGTTAATCCTCAGAACACTGGGATTATAGAATGTGATGATATCTCTAAAACCCTTGAAATTTTCCTCATTATTTGTTGGCCTACTTTTTTTTCTGCCTCCCAGGCAGGCCTGAAACAAATACCTGCTCTGCCTAAGGATAATTCAGTGTTATACACCTTTGCTGCAGTACTGCATTCTTTGGTCTAGCGTTTTCATTTGTTTGGTTTTTTCCTAGACGGAGTTATTTGTGCACACATTCAAGGACCAGCTGGTCAGAAGTGCCCTTTTAGCGCTGTACACAGCCCGGCCTGGCTGTGTCCTCAAGAAACCAGCTGTGCCTAGAAACAGTGCAGAAGAAGGGGCTGATGCACAGCACCAGGATCATCCTTCTCAGATTAAAAGGCAGGACTCTATACCCCATCACTCTGAGTATGATGAGGAAGAATGGGTAAGTAGACAGAAACCCTTGGTCAGTGTTCAGTGTGAAACCCTACAAAAAAGCATAAACAAGATCAAGCCCTAGGTGTCCTTGTCACATGTCATTGCAGGGGGGAAAGAGGTGCAAAAATATAAAATTGTGTTTTTCAGATGCATCGCAGATTTTGAAGCTAAATTTGAAGGATTTTCTTAAGTACAGTGTGCTGCTCTGAGACTGCCTGGTTGTGCATATAACAGTGAAGATGTTGAGAATCTTCTTGCTCAGTCAGAAGAATAGTCTTTGTTCTTACTTGGATTGGTTTTGCTAGTGGGGCAGATTTAAGGACTGGAACAGCATATGCTGTTCAGAAGGAAATGTTCTTTTCTTCCCCACCCCCTGCAACATCCCTCTCCAGCCCACAGGCTGTAACCATTTTAAATACACATGAATTAGCCCTCAGCAAAACAGAGGCCTTTGCCCTTAGATTCTGTTCTTGGAGAGTGTCTGAGGTTGTGTAAAAGAATTAAATACAACTTTTATATTTTAACATTCTTAGCACATCTTTCAAAGATATGTATTATTTATATGGCTGAGATTTTATAAATCAATTATTTTGGTAGATGTCTTCATAATAGATCTGTTACTTTATTTCATACGTACTCAAGCTAGTTTTATTCAGTCCAGGCTCATACATTGAGTTCATCACTGTATTCTCATAAATGTAAAGGGTGCCAGCATATTCACCTCTATTGTAAATAATTAATAACTTGTGTGAGCTATGGTATTGCACCTGAACTATGATTTTTATCCACACCCAAAAATAAAGGAAGAAGAATATATTTCTTCTAGAAGAAAGGCAATTATTTTCAGCCCATTCATTAGATAGTCATGAGATTTAAACAATAAATAACTCATTATTTTATTTGTCTTCGGTTTTAGAGCCTTTAATTCACTTTTTCTTGTTTTCTCAACAACCTGAGGGGCTGGAATGGTGGTTCTTTCCTTGAACTAAAGCCAAAATATTCGTTTGCAGCTGTTGAAACATTCAGAAATATAACTAACACAATAGTTTTTGTAAAAGAGAGAAATTTTGCACTGGAAAAAGTGTCACTTTGTGAAAGCTGTATTTTAATTTAGTAATGCAATTTAGCATCTTTGAAGAGAAGATAGCTTTGCTGTATTCCATAACTGATAAAAAAAAAGCTGGTAGGAGCTTGGTCCTCACCTATTAAACTGCATAAGTGGGTAGTTTTAAACAGTATTTATTTTTTTCTGCTGAATTAGTAAGATTATCTTGATTCAAAATTAAATGTATCTTTCACTGTTTTTGAATTGAACTGAGTCAGAGTCATTGTCAAACTTGAAACAGTATAAATTCTGGAGAAATTTGTTCTGAATTTGAATGATTAGACTTTGGATAGATAGAAGTTATTTCTGTCAGTAGAGGTGATAAACAATGTGAGTTTTAGTAATCAAATTTTGATTACCATAATGGATAGAGAAAGAATAAACGCATATAAAATTTGAAAAAAACACTTAATCTACTGTGAAACTCAAGTATAAAGGAAAAATCTTTAGTGTATGTTGCTTTGTATGCACAATGTTGTATCCGCCTTTGCTGTTGTAGGCTTTTTCCTCACTATTATCAAGTACTAGTGTTCAATTTTGCAATTGGAATTTTGGTTTTGCCTGAAATCTAAATCCTTAAACAACTCTTTAAGCTGACCCTGCTCCGTCCACTTCACATGACTGTGTTACCTTATGACCATCACTGAAGTACAAAGAGTCACTGGCAGCAGTATGGATTGAGCTATTTATATTGGTGCACTATGCACAGGCAGCAGGAAAGCATACTGCCAAAGGAAAAATATTTAACTTGAGAGTTTTACATTGACTCTGGAAAGGTATTCTCTTCTCCTCTCACCAATTGCTTCTGCTATCCTAGAAACTCGCTGCAGGAAGGCACATATCAAGTTTTCATGTATGATACAAGAAAAGGTGGGCACATTGCCACTTGGAGCTGGCTCTACACTTCTGACTGGTTAATGGGGCTGGAGCTGCAAAGAGCAGATAAAATGGCATTTCCAATAAACTCTGTACGAATGCTGATGTGGTGATCAGACATGGGGCTGAAGGACTAATGTGTGTGTGACCTATTCCATGTGCCACAGCACAAGGGGGTGTTAATCATACGCGTAACTTAAGATATTTCCTTTATCTCTGAACAGAGCTCAAAAGTATCTTAAGGAAATATCTGAATATCCACTGAAGTGAAGGAGACACAACATCTTCAGAGCGATGGGAAGTGCAGATGCTGTGTCATACATAGCACGAGTAAAGGACCCAACTGCAGTGGTGGGTCCACTTCCATATGGAAGGACAAGAAATGACTGAGGAGCTCTGTGGTGGATTCAGAAAGGCTGAGAATCCTTTAAAAACAAAGAGTTAGCTTCTGGGACTTCACTGGCTGGCAGTGTTTAGAAGGAAGACATCCAGTTAGGTGCAGTGACAGAAAAGAGTATCCGTTCCTGCTCTCTGAAATGAGGCGGCTGTCCTACTTTTTAATGATACTTTCTGATCAGATGGAAATTAATTACATTTTTTTCAGTTGGATGAATGAAAGAGAATTATTTTACAGGTTCATTTTTAATTGTCCTAGGAGAAGTGCCCAGCTTTCACTGATGTCAAGGCCTACCTTTCCACGGAGATCTTTCAGTGTGCATGTCTGCTTGCCAGTGCCACAGCGTAGGTGACAGTAGAAGTGTGACTATGGTCATTTTTAACTAGCAACACCTAGCTGCATGAGCCAGGGCTCCATAACATTCCAGATGACTTCTGAAGTTTGGGAGAAGTATAAGATGTAAATGTGGCACTGCCTTGTCTCAATGGGGTCAAGTCCTATTACAGATTTCCACCTTCCCTGTCATTGCCTTGACTTAAAAAGCAGAAATGAGAGGGAGAAAGAGATCTTGTTTCTCTCATTCTTTCATACCACAAAGTTACCATCCGCATTTGCTCCAGCACCTAGGGGGAAACTTGTGATCAGGGGAGAAGTATCCTGCTTAGAAAATTAGGGTGTTAGTATAACACTGTTGAGTCAGGGACAGACGAAATGAGTCCATGGTTCAGAAGGTGAAAAAGAGATACTTTATTAAGCGGTAGCATCCATTTACAGCCAGGATCGCTAAGGTGAAATCTGACTGGTCTCAAAGTAGAAACCTTTGACATTATTGGTGAACTATGAATAGCATACTCCGAAGGTACATATCTATAAACAACATGAACAGAAAGAGAGATAATAATTGTTTTCATTCTTCCTCTCTAAGTTTCCCAGGCCTGAAACCTGGCCACATTAGTATTTCAGTGTATTAATAAAAATTTCTCCTGATCCATCACTTGACACAGAGGGTTTGTAAGAGTGCTCACTTAAGAGGCTGCTAGACTGTATTTTGTCCTTTAACCTGGCACATACTATAAAGTGATCACTTGTGAGATTATTCACAGGCAGATTGAAAGTAGACTGCTTAAGAAGATGAAAGGTCAGTGCTAGGCTACAGAAAAATATTCTGGAAATAGTAAAGGATGACAATATGAAGTGGATTAATTTCTTCTCATGGAGAATCATAGAAAGCTACGCTAATTGGAAACTGCATTTTTATTTGAGAATTGTTCCTGCCAAACTGTGGAATTTCAACAGCCTTCTTAGATAAATGTGACTGCCTTTGGTGGAGACAGAATAACATCTCAATGAATGATAGATACCTCTGCATTTGCTATCTGCCCACAATCCCAGGTACCTCCTATGCGGAGAAAAAGAGCTGTGAGACAGCCCGTTGCTCCCTCTCAGTTGCTTGTATATAAAAAAGCCAGATACATGATAATAAGAGTGAGCTTTCTGCCAACAGATGTTTATGAATTTTGCTTCTAAACCCTCAGGGAATGCTTGTGGGAATGTTGCATAGACATCACCTCAATGCTGGGTTAATAGTTGGTTTTAAAAAAGAAAAATGCTCTTTCCAATGCGAAACAAGGGTTCATATTTGTGTTGCTTGTGCAATTACTCCAGATGCCAGCCTCTCTGAGCTCAGTTGCATATTCCTCAGCAACTTCAGTAACTGGAAGCTCTGAAGCTCCCTGATACTCTCTGGAGGATTCTTCATAGAATCCTTCTCCCCAGAATTGTGGGTGGTAAAAATCAGTAGTTTCACAAATATTCTAAATGTTTTTTCAGGATTGCTTGAGGTGCATATAGGAGGAAGCTTTTGACGGAATCTATACCTGCCCTCTGTCTTTTGACTTTTAATTGTATCTAATTGTATGTGAATATCAAATACTCATGTGTCTAATGTTTTATTTCATGTACAGGTGCAGATATTTCCACATTACATTGTACATGCAGCACTTTAAACAGTTGTGGAATAAATGCAGTTCTGCTTGGGTGTGACCAACTTCTTTCCTCTTGTAAATCAACAGTACCTTTTTCATAGTATGGTTAAAGCAGGTTTATTTAGGGAGAAAATGAAACCATTGTTTCCATGTTCACCTATAAACTGGATGCTCACTTGTCCTTAAGGCTGACCACAAGAATGCTCCAGGAATCAGGTTTGGGGAGCTGGAGGAGAGGAACTCTGTTGTACAGGTTGGGAAAGTCCATGCTTCTGTCTGTCGGCCCATGTGTTGTCTTGTAGGTCAGGATGCCACTTGTCACAGGTTGTGTCCTCAAGAGGAGGGAACAAGGAAAGATAAGATCTGTCTAGTCAGGCTCAAGTGTGGCACATAGTTGAAAAGTAACATTATATTTAAATGTTTGCCTCAGTAGTAGTAGTAGTTCTAGATTTGCCTCCACTCAAAATCCGAGGGTTGCCATTTATATGGAACTATGGTATTTCTCTGAGTTCTCAGTTTTCTTTAACCTTCTCTTATTCTGGCACTGTAAAATACAAAATAAAGTAGTGATGTTATATTCCCATTTTTAACCCTCAAGCAAACTCTGGTTGCTCTGCAATATTTTCAGAATGACTCATCATTGAAACATGTACTTGGAGGGGGGAGGGTGGTTTCTGTGGGTTTGTTATGTTTTGGTTTTAGTCTGATTGTGTGTCTTGTGTACAGCCTCATTTCTTGTATGACTTGTTTTTTTTTCTTCTTATTCAGTGCTGCAAAAGTAGATGCAAAAGCTTTGATTTCTGCAGCATCCAGCACCTGAAGGACCTCCCTTTATCTCTGTTCCATAACAACTCTTTCTTATGTTCCACATTATTTCTTTTGTTCCTGGCTCGTACAGAATTTTTTCTACCACTCTATTACTTCTGTAATTCTCCTATTATAAACTCTGTTAATTGCGATGGTTGCAGTTTATGTGAGAGGTGAGGAATGATACTGAAATGGTGTTACCTAATAAATATGCCATGACAGCAAGTTTCTCATTCTAGTCCTTGAATTTAGCATTTACTTCAGCAGACTAACTGATGTGATAAAATACAGGATATGTTAAATTATCAAAAAAGAGGTTATTACATACTGTGACAAAACTGGCCCACGCAAGGTTTGATTTGGCAAGGCTTTGAGTGTGTCTATACTCTTAAGGTATCATAATAGACAAGCTGCTCAGTTTCTTGCTATTAGACCTGAAACTTTGTCTGCATTTTTATGTCATGTTTGAAGCACTTGTTCTCCAGTGTCTAAAACCATAAGAGTTTGGGTTCATTTACACTGTAAGAAAAATCTCCATGAAAAAGTCTCAGGTTGGTAATAGGCTGAAGGATGAGAGGAACAGTCATATGCTGACATCTAATATTTCTAGTAATTTACACGTCTGTCTCAGCTTGAGGGGTTAATAAGTTACTATTATCTCCTCTTTTTTTTTTTTTTTTTTTTTAATTCTTCAGTAACATGCACTGATAATCTGCTCTTTTCAGGACAGGGTGTGGGCCAATGTGGCAAAGAGTTTGAACTGCCTTATTGCCATGGTGGACAGATTGCTTGAAAAAGACAACATCAGCAACATTAAAGAGGGTGAAAATGAGCCTTCAGCAGCAGATTGCAAGGTGTTGCATACAGGAGGTAAGCAACACCCCCTGATTTTTTATTTTTTAATCTTTGACAAGAGTCAGTAAAAATCTACACAGCAACGGAAAAGTCATCTAGAGAAGACTCCATAGTATCTTTGATGAGAGTGCTAATAGCAAGGTATTCACACTTGTAGGGAAGTTACGTGTCAAAGTACAGCTTTAATATGTGCTCAGACTGCTTGCCATGCTCAGTTGTTTGTGTGAGAGTGTAAACCGTTTGCGACCACAACATTTTCTTTTTGTAGGCCGATGTAATATAATTTACTTTAGGTTTTACTTGCATGTAGTATTTTGAGGAAAAAAAAATTGGACTGTGTCTTACCCCATAGAAAACTTGTATGGAAAGGTGAACATTCTGTATCAGTGTAATTCTCCTGCAAATGCTTCCACTTTTCTGAGGTGATATACTGATTTTTATTTTCTGATTTGATAAAATTCATGTTTACCTGGATATACTTGTCAGCCTGTGTCAAAAGGTCAAGTGGAATAATTCCATGGGATGATGTAAAGAAAATTTTGTACATGGTGGGTCCTTGTCACTTTCTGATCTTTACCTTCTGATCTTCTCCTATGGCTTATTCATGTTTGCATTCTTGATGCAGGGATTAGATCTGCTCAGTAAGTCTGATGAGACTTTCTAGTCTGAAAGTGTGTTGCAATAAATGAAACAGATCCTTAGTGATAGTGGTGGTAGTCCTAATGCAAGGAAATCAGAGCCAACCTTTGTGCCACTCTTCAGCTAAATAAAACAACTCTCCTTACAAAACAACAAACCAACACAACTACTTTACTTTATGGAGCTTTGTATAGTTTCAACTGTTTTTTTTTTTCATTGTGCATTTTATCCTGTATCTTCCCTTACATGTTCTCCACAGAATTTAATTACATCGTTTTATCTAAAGAGTTTTAAAGTTATCAGTACTCACTTGTAATTTCTTTCTTACATAATAAGAATGAAAATTACTTTTTTAACTTTATGTCATTTGTGTAGTACTGGTGAGTTCTGTGAATTCTGGTTGTAGTATTGATTTTTAATGCAACTGTAACATCTGCATTTTACCAGTGTGAGAGGTTTGTGCTGGAGTCCTGGAATCGTTTTCAGCGCAAGATGTGTTGGACTTGATTTTGTATGATTAGTCCAGAGAGCAACTTATTCCTTATCTGTTTGGTTCTCTAAGTTTCTGTCTACCAGGCATGTAATGTTAGCGAGGAAGGTAATATAATCTCTGTTCTCTAGTGAAGGCTTGCAGGTGAAAAATATCAACACAGCTTTCTATACCTTTCCTGCCTTCCTCAGAGAAGGTACAAACATTTAACAGCTAGGTAGGTGTAGTTTTGAACTGGGAAGAATCCTTAGATGGTGAAATCAAACGTATTCATTGTGATTAAAAGAGAAAAACTGAATGTTGTTCTTGTTCCTAACTCCCTTCTCTTCCCCATGGTGCTAACAAGCTTTCCTGCTATTGTTAGGAGTCCAACATGTCTTGTAGAAATGCTTTGCAGGTAAAGTGGCAGTAGTACACTTTTTCCCAAACTTTCCCCCAAGTGACTGCAGTGCATTTGTGTGTGTATGCATTGACATACATGTTGTGGGTTTTGTCTGTATTTCATAGTTGTGGAACAAAAGTTCTGATTTCCATACCTCCTTCCTCTATCGGGAAAAAAAAAAAAAGGTATGAATTAGGATAATTATTTTGGAATGCTTTCTGACATGTCTAGTTCATGCCAGCATGAACTTTTACATAATTTCCTTTACTCTCTTCAACCCCCTGAACATCTCCTCTGCTATATGCCATGTTATGGATTTAACCAGTTCATTTGAGTCTCTCATTCTAGTGTGATCATAGCTTTGATTCAGGCTCACACCCTACACAGGCAAATGGAATATTGGTTTGAGCTTTTAGGTCACAAGACAAAAAAAAAAAAAAAAAAAAAAAAAAAAAAAAAAAAAAAAAAAAAAAAAAAAAAAAAAAAAA